CCTCAGAGGGAGCATGTATTGTGTTCCTAGTTGAAAAAGGGACACATCCTGTTGTGATGAGGTTTGGGGGCAGTACCCAGATACTTGGTCCAACACCAGTCTACATATTGCTGCGAAGGCATTTGAAAAATGAAATTAACATGTACTTTGGGGTGCCTGAGTGGCTCAGTCTTTAAGCATCTGCCTTCGGCTCAGGTCATGATCCCAGGGTCCTGGGATCAAGCCCCGCATTGGGCTCCCTGCTCTTCGGGAAGCCTGCTTCTCCCTTTCACACTCCCCCTGCTTGTGTTCCCTCTCTCACTGTGTCTCTCTCTGTCAAATAAATAAATAAATAAATAAATAATTTAAAAAAAAAAAAGAAATTAACATGTACTTCAGTAGATTTATCAGGTTACCCTCTGCAGTGTGGGTGGGCCTTATCCAATCAGTTGAAGGCCTTAAAATAAGAAGGGGAAAAAAACTGGCGGTCCCCCAAAGAAGAGGGAATTTTGTTTCTAGACTTTCTTGGGCTCGAGCTGCAACTGCAACTCTCTGCTAGATGTTCAGCCTGCCGCTTACCGCCTGCTGCCCTACCCTGCAGATTTTGGATTTGCCAGATTCCACGATCATGTGCACAAAATTTTTTAAGTTTATTTATTTATTTATTTTTAGTGATCTCCACACCAACGTGGGGCTCCACCTCACAACTGAGATCAAGAGTCACACACTCCACCAACTGAGCCAGCAGGCAACCCGATGTGAGCAAATTCCTTGAAACAAATCTTTCTCTAGATACACACTTCCCCTTGGTCCTATTTCTCTGAAGAGCCTTGATAAACACATATCCCATCCTAGGAGCCCATGGTGTGGCTCTAGTGAATGAAGCAGACAAAGCCCTCAGCTCAACAGACTCCTGAGAGAGATATATATATATATTTTTTTAAGACTTACTTATTTGAGAGAGAGAGAGAGAGAGTGAGCAGGGGGTAGGGGCAGAGAGGGAGAGAGTCTCGGACAGACTCCACACTGAGCAGGGAGCCTGATGTGGGGCTCAATTTCACGACCCTGAGATCACAACCCAGGCTGAATCAAAGAGCTGGACACATAACGGACTGTGCCACCCAAATGCCCCATTTTCCTGTTTTATAATCTAAGACCAACTACCCAAATTTTGTAAATTCTAGAATGAGATCCAGATAGACTTCTTATATACAGTGCAATCAAATAAAAAGTTTAAATTCTTAATTGGACAAGGGAAAGGGAGATACTTGGTGAAAGCCCTGGAAAGAGGCCCCGGAGGGGACAGCTAGATTCCCTGACCCTGGGTTGCCACCATCCAGATCCACTGGGGCCCTGAGCCCTCCCCATTGCCCCAATCTGCAGCAGATGTGGAGGGGACTATGGAGCCCGCCCTGACCTTGGGGGAGTCTTCTGGGCACGTGACAATAGTGCTCTAAGGAGCACTCAGCCAGCCCAGGTGAAGGTCTAGCCATGTGTTGTGCGTTTAGTTGTGTCCCTACACAATGCTCATGCTGAAGTCCTAATCCCTAGTACCTGAGAATGTGAACTGTTTTTGGAAATGGGGTCACTGCAGATGTAATTGTTAAGAGGAGGTCATACTGACTACAGTGGGTACCTCATCTGACCAGTGTCCTCATGAAAGGGGAAATTTGGACACAGGCATGCGCACAGGGAGAAAACCACATGAACGTGAAGGCAGAGATGTGAGCCACACTTCTACAAGCCAAGGAGCACCAAAGATTGCCAGCAAACTACCAGAAGCCAGGAGAGAAGCTTGGCACAGTGTCTTCCTCACATTCCTCAGGAAGAGCTGACCCTGCCAACACCCTGCTCTTAGACCCCTAGCCTTCTATGCTTAGCCTGTGGCAAGATAATAGCTTTCCACTGTTGCAGCCACTTGGTTCGTGGTACTCTGTTAGTGTGCCCCTGGTAAACGAGCTCACCATACCCTGTCATTCGTGGCTGTTGGCTAATCTCTTCTCAAATGGCCCTCAAATAGCCGTCCATGTGGTTCCTGAAGACCAGAAGGGAATGGCCATGCCTAGCTGGCTCCTGCGGGGCCCTGTTTTACAGCTCCCGTATCAGAATCCTTAGACACTTGCTAAAATGCAGATTTCCAGGGATGCCTGGGAGGCTCAGTTGGTTAAGAGCCCAGGACCCTGGGATCATGACTGAGCCAAAGGCAGACGCTTAACTGACTGAGCCCCCCAGGAGTCCCCCGCAGTACATCTAGTCATCATGTGTCCTTAGGCCTCTCTTGGCTATGGTGGTTTCTCAGACGTCACTGCTTTCGATGACCTTGATAGTCCTAAGAAGTACTGGTCAGGCATTGTGTAGGATGCCGCACTGCCAGAGTCTGCCCCATGTTCTTCCTATAAGACAGAATCTGCCCCATGTTCTTCTTATAAGACTGGGGCTCTGGGTTATTGGGAGGAAGACCACAGAGGTAAAAGGCCATTTTCATTGTATCATAGCAAGAGGACATACCAGCAACATGACTCATCACTGTGGCTGTTGACCTTGATCACCTGGCTGAGGTGTGGTTGTCAAGTTCCCAGCTGATTTTTATGCCGGATAATCAGGAGGTGATGGACAGAAGGACTCTGACTCTGTGACAACTCTTATTATAGGTCACCGTTCAGAAGAAAGGAGCCACAGCAAGTGGTTGGCTCACACACAGTGCAGGTCATGCAAGGTACCGAGGCAAGCACCTCACCATGATTTCATTGCTACAACCCACCAGGTAGGCAAAATCATCATTCCCAGGTTAACGTATGAGGGAGCCGCACTTCTGAGGCCCCACAGCCAGAAGCCGGCAGAACCACACCTGCTCAGCACCACTGAGCCGCCCCCATGTGAAGGTGAAGGAGCCCTGCTGGCTGGGGCCTCCTCTCCCAGGGTGACAGGGGTGGGGGTGGTGGTGGCAGAAACATGCGGGGCTTCCCCTCGGGGCGCAGACTGGAACCTTAGCCAGAGGCCAACTTGCTCCTTTTAGCCCAAATGTTCTGAGGGGCGCCTGGGTGGCTCAGATGGTTAAGCGTCTGCCTTCGGCTCCGGTCGTGATCCCAGGGTCCTGGGATTGAGTCCCGCATCGGGCTCCCTGCTCTTTGGGAGCCTGCTTCTCTCTCTGCCTCTCTCTCTCTCTGTCTTTCATGAATGAATAAATAAAATCTTAAAAAAAAAACAAAAACAAATGTTCTGAGTGGGAAAATATCCACATGGATAGAGATTAAAAGGCGCAAACAAACAAAACAAAACAAAAAAACACCCCATCCACAGGGGATCAAAGTGTCCAAAGCCTAGGAAAATCAAATTGGCAGGAAAAAACGGCTAAAAAAAAGTTTTTGTTTTTTTTTAAGATTTTATTTATTTATTTGAGAGAGAAAGAGAATGAGAGATAGAAAGCACGAGAGGGAAGAGGGTCAGAGGGAGAAGCCGACTCCCCGCCGAGCAGGAAGCCCGATACGGGACTCGATCACGGGACTCCAGGATCATGACCTGAGCCGAAGGCAGTCGCTCAACCAACTGAGCCACCCAGGCGCCCCTAAAAAAAATGTTTTAAGATTTTATTTATTTTTGCAAGAGAGATTGAGAGAGGGCTCACCCACGCATGCACACGCCATGAGGGGGAGGAGAGGCCAAGGGAGAAGCAGACTCCCTGCAGAGCAAGGAGCCCAGTGCAGGACTCAATCCCAGGACCCTGGGATCATAACCTGACCTGAAGGCAGACGCTTAACCCACCGAGCCACCCAGGCACCCCAAAAGATTGGTTTTTGATCATTTTCCTGAGGGTATTAGAATAGAGCCTTTTTATTTTTAAGTAGTCTCTACACCCAACGTGGGGCTCCAACTCACAACCCCAAGATCAAGCATTGCTTGCTCTACAGACTGAGCCAGCCAGGCTCCCCTAGAATAGAGCCTTTTGACCCTGTATGCCCCATATTTATTTAACCAGTCCCTTACTGATGGATGGTAATGGCATTTCCTATTTATTACTATTACATTATAGCTAGGACCATCTAAGTACCTACAACTGTCTGCAACTTATGCCAGAAGACAGATTCCTCAAATTCTAACTGCTGAGTCACAGAGCAGGAGTATTTTTAATTTTGACACATACTACCAAGTTACTCCTAAAAGGTTACAAAGTTGTACCTTCCTACCCATAGCACAGACTGCCCATTTTCTCACATCATCACCAATACTGGATATTCTCTTTTTACTGTTTGGAAAGGCAAGGAAAAGTCGTATCATTTTCATCTGTATGTCTCTCATTATTAGAGAGGTTGAGCATCATTTCTGGCTCATTGGCCACTTGGATTTCTTTTTATATGTATAAACACACAATTCATGTCATTTGCCCAATTTTCTTATCTTTTCTTATTGTTAATCTTTTTGAAGATTTTATTTATTTATATGAAAAAGAGAGAGCACAAGCAGGGGGAGAAGCAGAGGCAGAGGGAGAAGCAGGCTCCCCGCTGATCGGGGAGCCTGATGCGGGACTTCATCAGGGGTGCAGGACCCTGGGATCATGACCTAAGCTGAGGGCAAACACTTAACCGAATGAGTCACCCAGGTACCCCTTTTTCTTATTGTTTTATAAGAACTCTTTATATATTATGCATTTTTTTACATTTTTATTTGAGAGCGAGAGAGCGCGCGCACATGCGCACAAGCGGAGGGGAGGGGCAGAGTGACAGGGAGACACAGACTCCCCACCGAGCAGGGAGCCCTGATATGGGGCTCAATCCCAGAACTCTGAGATCATGACCTGAGCTTAACTGACTGAGCCACCCAGGTGCCCCTGGATATTCATTCTTAAACGTATTACAAGTATTTTTATCTGTCTTATCATTTGTTTATCATCTTTTCTTCCATATAGAAGTTTCTCCTTTTCCATTGGGTCAAGTCTGTTGATTTTCTTTCTTACAGTTTCAGAGTTTTATGTCACATGTTCTTCCCTTACTCTTGCTTTCTGCACAGTTATCAGTTCCAGCTCAGAACAATTCTTATCTTATCTATCCACTGTCTCGCCAGCCGCCTGGCCTTTCAAGGCCCTGCACAGCTCCCCAGCCCCGAGGCAGAGCTTGGTCCCCTGGAGTCCCAGGGCTGGCCTGGACCGGGAAGCTGCTGGGTGCCCAGCCCTGGCCTCAAGCTCCTCTCCAGCTCTGCTGCCACCCGGGGAGCTGTGGCCTGGATGGCATCCTGGATGCTGTGTAAATCCCACTGGGTCCTCAGGAGGGCATCGTCTAGGGTGAAAAAGCCATCCCGCGTACGCCGCACTTGGGAACAGACAGCGGTGGTCTTCAGCTCCAGGCCGATTTCATGCACCAGCCTTCTCAGCTGCTTCTGTGTCTCATGCATGCACTGTACCTCTGCCAGGGACACACAACAGATCCGAAGGTTGGGAGCCTGGCCTCTGGTATCTGTGGATCTAAATCCACACCCGTGATACCTCTTGGCTGTGTGATAACCTTAGAGAAAGACCTTAGCTCTCCAGGGCTTTGCTCATGGGCCAGCCCTGAAAGTTGATTAGATGTGCAGAATCTTGGGCTCCACCCAGACCTGCAGAATCAGAGTTTGCTTTTTTTGAAGACCCCCCCAGGAGTTTTGTGGGTAGGTTAACTTCCGGAAGACTGTTCTGGTCTAAGACTTAAGGCTCATCTGTAAAATGGGTGGGTGTGAGGAATCTTAAGAGATAATGTACATAAGGTGCTTATCATTGGGAGAGTACGGGTCAGCACTCAAGGAGCCCTTGTTAGTAAGACGAAGAGAGAAGAAAGGAGGGAGGGGCCAAGCTGGGTGGGACTGGGGAGTTGAGGGTGCTGTCTGATGGCCCACCACAACGTGAAACACTGCAAGGCAATGGAAATGAACCACTAAGTATTAACTTCTCGCTAAGGTCTGGCTTCAAAGCGTAACTTGGCAGCATATAAGACAGGATTTGATCTGAGTGCTGTGTGGATGGGCCAAGTCCAGTCGGGGGCTGAGAAGGAAGCTAGCCCCTGGTGCCTTAGCCAGCAGGGATCAGGGCGGGCATGTGCTGGGGTCTACAGGGGCATTCCACAATGATTCCCCAAACCCAGGAGCCCCATCTCACTGCTCCAACTTCCTGGAGCAATGTACCTATGAGGAATTCCGGCGGCGCAAAGAAGACGCATCGGATGCCTGTTACCAGCATTGGGGACTTGCCCATGGGCCGAATCAAGCCTCTCACAGCCATATCATAGGCCTCCTGGGTCTGCAAGTCCAGGTTGGAGTACCTGGGGATCAAAAGGGGGCTGGCGTGGGATGGGGAGCTGGGTCCACTGTTTACCCCTGGCCCTGCCCCACTCAGGAAGAGCTTTCCTAAAGCTCTTCTTTCGCTTTCCAGCTTCCCTGCCCCTCCACCTGCCTTTTTCTATCTCCTCTAATCCCTAAATGCAGGCTCTGCCCTCCTCTGCAGTCTCCCTAGCTTCCGGTCAAGCACTTGCTGCCTGCTCCTGCCCCCTGCTTCTAGGTCATATGATGTGGGTTCCTGGCTTCCCTCTCCACTAAATCATATACTCTCACTGAGGCTAGCTGGGGTCTCTTGTTCCCCCTTGGTCTCCCTAGGGGCTGGAAGAAGTAGTAGGTGGTGGGGGGGTGGATAGATGGTTGGATGGCTCATTCCTCACTTCTTACCCTCCCTAAACACTCCTGCATGCTATGGAAGGAAGGGCTGGTTCATGTCTGCTTTCAGGCTCTAAAAAGAAGGTCCATGGAACCTGCCCCAGCGTGGGCAGAGTCTACAGGGAGCCCAGTGGGTACTTCTTACTCTTCCAGCACCTCCTCAAGGGCCCCTTTCAGCAAAGTGTGGATTGGGCCCCACTTACATCACCAGGGCCTTCTGATGGGAACCTTGGATCAGGGCGAGGATGCGGTCCAGCTTCTCTCTGGTCACATGGTCTGGAAAAGCCAGGGGATGGTCAGCACACGAGCGCCTGCTGAGGACAGGCAACAACAAACTGGCAAACTCCCTTCCCTCAAACCAGCCCCATCCTTGGAAACTGGAGGGGTCCCAGAGCACCCAGGGCTCCCATTTAGGGGGTTATGAGTCCTTTGAGACTCTTATGAAAGCCCAAGAACCTCCTCTCAGAAAGTTATGCCTGAACTCAGTATTGTGAGGACATTTTTAAGGGGCTCACAGACTCCAAGTTAAGAACAGTTTCTTATGGAAATGAGGCTCAAAGCCATAATATGACTTATCCAATATTCTAAGCCAGGTTCCCTGAGCCCCAATCTGGGTTCTTTTATGCCAGGGACCCTGGGAGGGAGAGGGCCATCTGTCTGAATGCAGACACAGATGGCAGAAGGGAGTGGCTCTGCCTGCTGGTACGACCGAGCAACTAGGGCAGGCAGCTGCCAAGCCCAGGGATGCTCACAAACTGCTAGGAGGCTGATCCTGGGGCCCAGCTGGGCAGGTGCCAACTTCTGGCTCCAAAGGCCAGAGTTCTGGGCACAGGTGTGGTGACCAAAGGTCTGCCAGCTTGGAAGGGCCTAGCCTAGGCCTCTTATCCCCCCTCTCTGGCTTTCTTCATGCCATTGTCTTATCTGAAATGTACCTACCACTGCCTCCTCCCTCCTCATTTACAGCTCAGCTCAAATGCAGCCTCCTCCAGGAAGCCCTCCTGGAGCATGTCACTTCTTTTTCCTGCATCCTGGGTCTTTTTCCAAGCATTTAATTTGTTTTGGTTTGGGATGCCTGGGTGGCTCTGTCGGTGAAGCATCTGCCTTCAGCTCAGGTCATGGTCCCAGGGTCCTGGGATCGAGTCCCACATCGGGCTCCCTGCTCAGTGGGGAGCCTGCTTCTCCCTCTGCCTGCAGCTCCCCCTGCTTGTGCTCTTTCTCAGATAAATTAAAAAAAAAAAGTCTCTAATTTGCTTTGGTTTTAACATTATTTTTTAGTTATATAATTGACATATAAATCTTAAGAAATTTATTTATTTTTTTAAAGATTTATTTTATTTGAGAGAGAGCACGTGCACACTCGTGCCTGTAGGGAGAATGGACAGAGGGAGAGGATCTTAAGCGGGCACCCCTCTTCTTTAAGAAATTTAGATCAGGGGGCACCTGGGTGGCTCAGTGGGTTAAGCACCCAACTCTTGATTTCTGCTGAGGTCATGATCTCAGGGTCGTAAAATCAAGGCCTGTGCCGGGCTCCACACTCAGCGTGGAGTCTGCTTAAGATCTCCCTCTGCCCCTGCTTCCTGCATGCACGTTCTCTCTCTCTTTCAGATAGATAAATAAATAAATAAAATCTTAAAGAAAAAAAAAAGAAAGAAAGAAATTTAGATCAGCATTAACAGCATCTCCCCTTCTCCAAATTCGGGCTTCTTCCCTACCAGAGTGTCAAATTGGTAACTGTCTTTGGACATGTTTTGTATGCTGATACACCCACATATACAGATTATATAGTGTTACTCTGCCACATTCTTAATCCTGTCTAGAAGATTACAGAGGTGTGTTTGCTCTCCCTGCTAGACTGAGTTCACTGAGACTGGGGACCCCATCTGGTTCATCAAGACCCTGGCACATGGTTGGTGCCCAAAAACATCTGTCAAGTAAGAAAATGTAATAGATCCTATGGAAAGTGTTAGAACATAGGGAGGGTAAGAAGTGAGGAATGAGCCATCCAACCATCTATCCACCCCCCCCATCTACTTCTTCATCCATCCACCCAACCAACAAGAACCTCCCATGTCCCAGGCTCTGCGCTGTGTGTAACCACAGGAATGGAATGACGTGGTCCCTGCTCCCATGGTGACAGTGTGGTGGGAAGACAAATATTAAATAATCACTAATCATGGGACGCCTGGGTGGCTCAGTCGGTTGAGCGTCCGATTCTTGATTTCGGCTCGGGTCATGATCTCGGGGTCGTGGGATTGAGTCCTGTGTCGGGCTCCACACTCGATACATAGAGTCTGTTTGAGATTCTCTCTCCCTCTCTGCCTCTGCCCCTCCCCCCACACTCGCTCTCGCTTTCTCTTTTTTTTTTTTAAAGATTTTGTTTATTTATTTGACAGAGAGAGAGATAGCAAGAGCAGGAACACAAGCAGGGGGAGTAGGAGAGGGAGAAGCAGGCTTCCCGCGGAGCAGGGAGCCCGACACGGGGCTCGATCCCAGGACCCTGAGATCATGACCTGAGCCGAAGGCAGACGCTTAACGACTGAGCCACCCAGGCGCCCCTCTCTCAAATTTTTTTTTTTTAAGATTTTATTTATTTATTTGAGAGAGAGAATGAGAGACAGAGAGCACAAGAGAGAGGAGTGTGAGAGGGAGAAGCAGACTCCCTGCTGAGCAGGGAGCCCGATGCGGGACTCGATCCCGGGACTCCAGGATCATGACCTGAGCCGAAGGCAGTCGCTCAACCAACTGAGCCACCCAGGTGCCCCTCTCTCTCTCAAATTTAAAAGAATCACTAATCATTAGTTGATTACTGTTCTAAGAGTCCATCTAGTTCATCTGGGGATGAAGTGGAGCTTCCCTGGGGAGGTGACATTTATGCCAGATGGGGAGGCACCAGGCAATTATACTTGCAAGACAGAATGATGTGCCCAAAGGCCCCAACAGCCAGCCCAAACTTAGTGTGTTGCAGTCACTGAGGGCTGCAAGGTCTGCGTGGGGGTGAGGAATCGAGGGAGAGCAAATGCAAAGGCAGCCATAGCCGCTCTCCTCCCACGGCCCTGGGCGCCTGCGGGCTCTCACCATATGTTGACTTTTCCACCAGCCGCCCATCCTCACAGAAGTCATCTGTTGCTTTGCCCAGGAGGCCACGTACTGTGTAATCCTGCAGAGATAGGGAGGGGAAGATGGGGTCAGATTCCCTGCTAGCCCTCAGCACTGAGGAGGGAGGTATGTCCAGCACCTCCTACCCCCAACCTGCTAGACAGACTGCAGGTGGGGGGTCCTCAGGTCTCCCCTCAGGGAGCCAGGCACTCAGCCCCCAGCCAGACACCCCACTGTCCCCCCAGGGAAGGGCACCAGACTTCCCTATGACAGAAAGCACCTGCCCGCAAAGGATGATGACCACCCTCTGCCTCCACGTCTCTCCTCTCCAGCCAGACCTGACAACTTATCATGCCAGGCCCCTCCCAGTGCACCCTGTCGGCTTCTCCCCAGCCTCCAAATATGATCTGTGCAGCTAACAGCCTCTGCCACAAGGAAGGGATGACAACAGCAGCAGTAATAATTTACTGAGCATTTACCATGCACCAGTGACTGTGCTAAGTATGGTGCAGGCAGTTACTAACTTAACCTTCAGAGTAACCCTATGGAGGAGGTACTATTATCTCCCCCATCTTACAGACGCGGAAATGGAGGAACACGGATGTTAAGTAATCCGCCTGGGGGCCCACAGCGGGCAGACGGGAGAAGCTGGTTTTGAACTGAAACCGTTTGGCCCCACGATCTGTGCTCTTAACCACTAAAAATGGAGGCTAACGCAGCACCTCTGTCCCCTCTCAGGGTGCCAGATTCCACAGCCCCGGCCCAGATGCAGGCTCCCTGATGCCTGGATGGTGACGTCCACCTCTGAGTCTTGGTCTGGGGTCAGACAGATCCAGGTTCAAAGCGCAAATCCAGGTTCAAATCCTTACAGGTTGCACGACCCTGGGCAAATGACATCCCCTCTCTGTGCCTCAGTGGTCCCATCTGTAAGGCGGGTTAACAGCAGATCCCACTTTTTGGGGAGGGTGTGAGGCATCCAAGAGGGAGTCCACATGCAGTGCTCAGCGAAGAGCGGCTGGCATGCAATAAGGCCAGCGGTCATTACCATGCTATCCTTACAGTCTCCCCCAGCACACGGCCATGAAACAACGCTGGGTGATGACCTGGGTGTTCCCCCATGCAGTCCTCTCAGTTTCAGATTCCTGCCAGTGAGCCCCAGGGAAAGGGGCTAAACAAGCTGTTCCCAGCATCCCCGTACCTTGGTGAGGTGAGCATTGTACATGCTGGTGAGGAGCCTGCGTCCATGTCCCACGCCGAGCACTGGAAGACACCCAGGCTGATCTCACACCTGGCTCCCCCTTCTCGTTTCCCTGGGACCTCCAACCCCCATAACCACCACCAGAATCCTTGTATCTCTGATGCTGCTAAAGCCAGCAAGAGGGCAAGGACAGCTTCCTCTACAGGGAGCAAGTGAGCTCCCCTGGGTAGATACGAAAATGTAGGTTTCGGGGCCCACCCACTTGTACTGATTCTGACTCATAGAGGGGCCTCGGATCCTTAGTAAGCGCCCCAGGGGGGATGCACTCCAAAGAAAGTGACCAGGGGCCCAGTCACACAGACCTGCCCTCAAATCTGGGGTGGCTCTAAGCATGTCTGTTAGCCTCCTTGGGCCTCAAGCTCCCCATCCGTAAAATGGGGATACAAGATCCTGTCTGATCCCTGTGGGTGTTGTGAAGACTGAGGCAATACACAGGAAGAAGTGAGCACAAAGGAAGGGCCCAATAAAGGGGCATTGTGGCCACTGCCTGCCTTTTCCTGGCTGTTTCTCCCTCTGGCTGGAGGAGAGAATGACCCTTCATTCACTCCTGGAGAGGGAGGGCAGGGAGAGGGAGCATGACATCATGTCTGCCTGCCTGTGCCCCAGGAAGTGAGACAAGGGGACTGTGACTACCGCGCATGGAGGATGTGGCCACCGCCTGACCCTGGGGACACAGATGGCTCCTGACTCAGGGCTTTATGTGTCCAGCTCCAGCGACATTCAGACCCTGGCCGGTGGGGCCAGAGTCACACGCTTGGCTAACCCATACAAGTGATGACAGTTTGTGCTCCCTGGACCAGGGGCATTCACTAGCCACATGATCCAGACCGAGTCACCTAAGCTCCCGGAGCCTTCTTTTCTCCATAAAATCATAATCTACCTAATAAGGTTGTTGTCATGAAAACATGTGCACGAAGGGCTTCATACTGCACGTCGAATGCAGGAATCACTTGATAAAAGTGGGCAATTGCGCCATCCCCCCTTCCACCAGCTGACCAGACTTGGGGCAGGAAGCAGGGGACAAGGGCAGCGGCGGGAAATGGCGGTCAGGCTGGAAGTGGGTGGGGTTCATGGTAGCTCCCTGGTCTTCTCCCGAGACTGTATCACTGCACCCCCGCGCTCACCACATCACCTACCAAGCACCCCAGACGCTTGAGCATCCAGCCGGTGTCCCACGCCAACCTTCAAGCTGGTGAATGCTGGTCCGCAGACTAGAAAGAAACAAACGAGGTCCCTCTGCTCAATGAATCCAGCCTCCAGGATGACTTCAGCCTGCATCATGGCCTCATTCCTAGGATGTAGCCTCATGGAGCCCAAACCAGGATCAGGTTGGACTCTCAGGCCCCCACGTGGAATCTGAGGCCTCGAACCATTTCCTCAGGACCCTGGGCCCAGAAAAAGGGCTTGCTACTCTGCCTATCATCATTCCCCTGGTGAGAGGCTTTGAGGGGACTGGGCAGAACATTGGGAGTCAACTTTCCTACTCAGCTGCGGCAGAGAGTCCTGGCCACCCCAGTAAGAAAATGGAGGTGGTAAGTTACTGAAGGCAGAGCCTGGGTCCCAAGTTCTAACCCTAGAGCCCAGAACTCACTAGGTGCTCAGGAAATAACTAGTGAGGGACGCCTGGGTGGCTCAGTTGGTTAAGTGTCTGCCTTCGGCTCAGGTCATGATCCCAGGGTACTGGGATGGAGTCCCGCACTGGGCTCCTTGCTTAGCAGGGAGTCTTCTCCCTCTCCCTCTGCCCCTTCCCCTTGCACTCTCTCTCAAATAAATAAGTAAAATCTTAAAAAAAAATTAAAATAAAAACATTTTTAAAATGTGGGTTTTTGTGTATCAATTATATCTCAATAACGCTATTTAAAAAGAAAAAAAAAAAAAAGACCACATGCAGGAATGAGCCAGAAACATATACACTTCTACAGAACAAGAGGTATCTGGGGGAAGGATATGGGATGGTTAAGCACCTACTGAATCCAGCCTATGTTACTTAATGTCCACACTGACCCTCAGTTTCCTCATTTGTGAAATGAGAACAGGACCCACCTCACAGGATTGTGGTGAAGATTTAATAAAATGGTACTTGGTAAAAGCTTAACACGGTACCTAGTACAGAAGAGATCCTCAGTACATCATACTTGTTATTGCTACACTGTAGAGTCAATAAATATCACTGCCAAAGGGATTTTAGTGGTTTCTGGTCAAGCCCCTCAGTCTTCCTAATCTTGTAGAGTGACAGGGAGCTCATTATAACTAGTTCCATTCTTGGGCATCTTTGTTGACTAAAAAAGTCACTCCTTCCCAAGAGCCCCAAACTCCCACCTTAGGACTTCTACCTGAGGGTCTCAATTCCCATCTGGAGTCCCAGAATAGTTAAAAGGGGTCAGCAAGCTACAGTCCACAGGCCAAATTCTCAAGCCTGTTTTTTTTTTTAATGGCCCATGAGTTAAATTTTTTTTTCAATGATCCCCCCAAAAATCAAGAAATATTTTGTGACATAGGAAAATTATATGAAACTCAAATGTCACTTTCCATAAATAGTTTTATTGAAACACAGCCAGGCTCACTGCATTCCATATTGCCTACAGGTTCTTTGCCCTACTACTATGGCAGAACTGGGCCTGCAAAGCCTAAAATATTTGCTATCTGGCCCTTTCCAGGAAAATTTGCCAATTCCCGGTCAAATACTTCCATCCCCGCTGTGGCCCTTCAAGGATCTGGGACAAGAGTCTGAGCACTGACTGGAACACTGACTCTGGGCAGAAACTGCCTGGGAAGTGACACCCAGGCCCCTGCCTGAATGTGCCTTACCTAGCGGATGGTTGGTGAGGGTGGGCACACTGGTGGCGGTCAGAGTAAGCTCCTTCTCTTCACCGTCTCCCACGTGGCCCAGCAGAAAACGAACACGCTGTTCAGGGGCAGGAGCCTTCCGAGCATTGACACCTGAGAACACAAAGGTAAAAGACATCAAGTCAATTCTGTCCGAACACCTGGGGAAGATGAGACAGGGAGGTATGGAGATGTACAAGAGAAAGCCCACGATGTAGCGAATAGCAGCAGTTAAGAAACAGGCTTGGGCACCTGGGTGGCTCAGTTGGTTCAACGACTGCCTTCGGCTCAGGTCATGATCCTGGAGTCCCAGGATCGAGTCCCGCATCGGGCTCCCTGCTCAGTGGGGAGTCTGCTTCTCCTTCTAACCTTCTCCCCTCTCATGTAATCTCTCTCTCTCTCTCATTCTCGCTCTCTCAAATAAATAAATAAACCTTAAAAAAAAAAAAAAGAAAGCAGGCTTGGGTTCAAATTCTGACTCTATTACTTATGACATCTGAACGCAGGGGAAAGTGAGGAGTAACGGAGTACACAGATTACATGCTTAGGAAAGCGCTCTGCCCAGTGGCCTGGGTCACATGACTTTATTTTGCCGGGAGGATCAGAAGCGGAGATGGACTCCCGGAGAACCAGAGCGGGATCGTGGGTCTGGTTCGAAGCGCTCACCCTTCAGAAGCTGCAACTCCACGGTGTCCCGCACGTGCTTCCATTTTAGCCCCGGGGGCTTGTAGACCGCGAAGAGCCCGTGCAGCCGCGCCAGGCCGCGGGACCCCATGCCCGAAGCCAGCGGCGCCGGCTGGTGAAATAGCCGCACCTGAACGGAAGTGCCGTTCGGTCCCACTCCCAAATGTGGTCCGGACCCTGGGTGCCGCCACGTTCCGCAGCCGGAAGAGGTTCACGTCTTTATTGGCCTCGGGGAAAACGCACGGAGGAGAGGGCAGTAGTGCCCGACGCTGAACCCCGAGCAGGGATCACTTGGGGAGCCTTTCTGGGAGTGAGGGGAAATGGGGAGAATTTTGCTTCGGTGGGAATAGGTGGTAGACAGGTCGCCTGGGTTTTCTTCTCTTACTTAGCGATAGGGCCCTCTCCTGTCCGTGCCTCCTTCAAAGGCCCTTCTGGGCGCTCCGCGGCGGGAGAGGTTTGCGGCATCGGCCCTCCCCGCGCACCCTTCCCGCGGCCGCCGGCTGGTGCCCGCTACCATGGGGACGCTGCTGCGCTCGGCCCTGCGCCCTCTGCGCCGACTCGGCGGCCTCCGGGGGCCGGCTGCAGGCAAGTGGCAGAGGCGGGAGGGAGGCCTGGGGTGCCAGGCTCGTCTGACCGCGGCCTTTTTTTTTTTTGCCCAGTAGATGTGCCGCTCCGAAACGTGCGCCACGACGCCGCCGACCTGCTCTACCCGGGGCACATCCCCACCTCCCCGCTGCAGAAGGCGCTGCTGGCCGCCGGCTCGGCCGGAATGGCTCTCTATAACCCGTACCGCCACGGTAAGGTGGCCGGCGCTCCCGGGAGGGCAGGGGGGTTCGGCGCGCGCCCTTGCCTGGGGAACCTGGGCAGGTGCCCACCTCTCTCTCTACCCGACCTAGAATAGACTAGGTTGGGGTTCCCAAACCTGGCTGCATCCCATCATCACGCGCAAGGTTCACAAAAATGCAGATGTCTAGGGCCCACCCTGAGTTCAGTCCGAATCAGGCCGAGCCTGGGGAGGGGAGGAAGGGCCAGCATTTTTAAATAAACATTGAGAACCTGTATACTAAATAGATGATTTACAAAGTTTGTTATACATTAAATTATAACATCCCAATAAAAATTAAAGTTTATGAGGTCAGACACTCCGACTGCCCTGTTGCATTGTATCAGCATGTTTTAGATTGTGCCTGGTGCATAGCAGATGCTCAATAAATGTTTGCTGGTTGTATGACTGGAACATCTTAGGGTTCTACAGGACTTTTCTCATTCTCAGGATTCTAAGTCTGGAAAGGATTATTACTCCTACCAATTGAAATGGCAGTGCTAACTGCTCACTGAGCCCTAATGCTGGTTGCTCACTGCACTAAATGTTTTATATGCACGATGTTCTTGATTTTTCACATTAACCCTGTAAGAAAGGTGTTCCCCACATTTCATAAAGTAGTACCCTGAGGCTTGGAAATGTGAAGCATTTTGCACAAGTTCCCTTAGACAGTGATTGCACCTGAACCCAAACCTAGCACTCTGATTCAAAGCCTGTAATCAATGGAGGCATGATAATCCGTTGTAATAATGGGTGTAAAAGTGACTTATAAACTCTTTAGAGCACTGTGCTAACCAGAGCCATCTCCGCCTGTTAGATTAATACAATGATAATGACTATAGGTACATATATTGAGCCCTTACTGTGTGCCAGGTGATTTGCTAAATGTCTAACATGAATCCTCGTAACTAAGAGGTAGATAGGATTTTGGTTTATCATGTAGGAGACAGGCTCAGATGGGGTCCAGTAACTTACCTAACATCATATCTTCCATTTGTCCCCATTTCTTTCCTTTCAGACATGGTCGCAGTTCTAGGGGAGACCACAGGACTCCGTGCCCTGAAGGTCCTCAGGGACCAGATGAGGAAGGATCCAGAGGGTGCTGAGATCCTGCAGTAGGTCCCAGCTGTGCCTGGGGGATTGGGGATATTCTTTGGGGATCCTGACCTCTCTGGAGTCACATTGTGTTCCTCTAGGGAGCTCTTCTTGATGCCCAGGCCATGGAGAGCTGCACATGCTGGGCACTGCCCAACTCCGTGGGTGCCATTCACACACACACTATGATGACCCGTGGGTAGTGCAATGTGGTGGCCTCAGCCCAGATCCCACCACAGGGCCCTCTGCCTTCCCTAAGCTCCCATAACAGGCTAGCTATAACCCTCACTCCCCTGCAGTGTCCTTTATGAGTACCCTGATCACACCTGAGGCTTGCTCCCTAGATTATGCCACTGCAGGCAGGAACCATGACCTTGGCTTGTGGTAGTCTCCTCAGTCCCTGCCACTGTCCTGGCCAGAAGCAGGTCCTGCAATAGGATTTGTGTCCCCATTGTTGCTCTCTGCCCCTTCGCTTCCCAAATCCTTGCTCTAGCTGGCCTCTCACCTGCCTTTGCTGCTGCCCTCCCAGTACCTAAGTCCTTCCTTCTGCCTTGCAGGAAGCGTCCCCGGATCTCACTGTCTACCCTTGACTTGGACAAGCTCCGTAGTCTGCCTGAGGGCTCCCTTGGCCAAGAGTATCTCTGTTTCCTGGATGTAAATGTGAGTTTCCAGCTTCTGTGCCTTTGGCAATCACTAGGAAAGGCAGAGAAGGGCATGGGAGTGATGTCCTGAGGAAGGAGGAGTCCTGATTGGCCACCATGGGCAGGTGTGTTTTTTGTCTCTCGTGCCAAGGCTTTGTCATGTTCTATGGGACAGGCAAATGGGTCAGGAACTCCAAGCAATAATACTGGCCCGTATGCAATAGCCGCTTACTGGGTGTCAGCTGCCAGGCTCATACCTGATCTTGCCGAACCCTCCCAACAGGAAGGTTCATGCTTGACCCTCCCTGCCAAGTATGTACTATTATTATCCCCTTTAAGAGATGAAGAAGTGAGGCCCAGAACACTTAAGCAACTTGATGATTTCATACACCCAGTATGAATGGAGGCAGTATTCATACTCACATCATGCCTTTTTTTTTTTTTTTTTTTTTAGGATTTTATTTTTAAGTCTGTCTCTATACCCAATGTGGGGCTTGAACTCACAAACCCAAAATCAAAAATTGCATACTCTACCAACTAAGCCAGCCAGGTGTCCCCAGATCATGCTCTTAACTGCTGTATTATGTACTCATGTTCTAGAGTCAGTGCTTTCCCCAGGGTATGACAAGTTGTGGCACTCTCTGTCCCAGGCAGGGAGGACAGGAGCTGGTGGGGAGAGTCCCAGCTGCTGAGGAACTCATTCATGTGTTCAGGATCTGCCAGTTGTCACCCATTGTTCCAGGTGCTGGGGATAGAATGGTGAGCCAGACAGACAAAACCCTGCTCTTGTGGCACGAATATTCTCGGTTTGGGGAGGAAATCAAGTAATAAAAGAAAAAATTTCATATAAAAATTCGGGCCAAATATTTATTGACTCCTTGGAATGTACAGCACTGTTCTCGGTAATTGAGATACAGTGAATGAAACCAGCAAAGAGCCTGCCTTTGTGGAGCTTCCATTCTAGCAGATGGTGCTGTGAGAACAACATCCTGAGAGAGGACAAGGAGGCGGGGTCAGAGGTGGCCACTTCCCATAGGGAGGTCACAGGAGGCCCCTCTGAGGAGACTCGGAAGAGGAGGAGCCAGCCCTAAGGAGAGATGAGAAGGAACAGGGCTTCTGGCAAGTGCAAGGCCGTGTGTGTTTAAGAAAAGGAAAATGGGGCACCTGGGTGGCTCAGTGGGTTAAGCATCTGCCTTCAGCTCAGGTCATGTACTCAGGGGCCTGGGATCGAGCCCCGCATTGGGCTCCCTGCTCAGCTGAGAGTCTGCTTCTCGCTCTGCCGCTCCCCCTGCTCTCACTGTCTCGCTTACGTATGCGCTTTCTCTCTCTCTCTCATAAATAAATAAAATCTTTAAAAAAAACAAAAAAAAGGCAAAAAGAAAAGGAAAAGTGAGTGGAAGACAGACGGCCAGTGGCTGGGAGGAGAGCTGGCCCAGACCCTGCCAGCCATGGGAAGAAGTCTATATTTTGTAATAGGAGCAATAGAAGACATTGAGGGTTTCAAGTAGGATAGTAACATGACGTGATTTATAAAAGGACCTTAGGATACAGCTGGGACACCTTCCCTGTCCCAACCCCTCCATCCCCATATACACACATCTCACCAACAAGAAGCTCTAAGTGGTTCTCCAGCCCACTGCGGGTTGCTCTAGAACTAGGCTTCTCAACCCCAGCACTATTGACTTTTCGGGCCAGATAATTCATTCATTCATTCATTCATTCATTCATTCATTCATTTATTTATTTATTTATAATTTATTTGAGAGAGAGAAAGAGAGCATCAGTTGGGAGGAGGGAGAAGGAGAAGCAGACTCCCTGCTGAGCAGGGAGCCTGACACGGGACTCGATCCTAGGAACCTGAGATCATGACCTGAGCTGAAGGCAGATGCTTAACCAGCTGAGACACTCAGGCACCCCAGGAACAGATAATTCTTTGTTTGTAGGGGCTGCCCGGTGCTTTCCAGAATGGTTAGCAGCATCCCTGGCCTCTCTACATAGATGCTAGTAGCACCCCCACTAAGTTTTGACAGCCATAAATCTCTGCAGACATTGCAAATATCCCCTGGTGGACAGCTGAGAAGCTACTGCTCTAGAAGATTATTTGTTCCTGGAGCGCCTGGGTGGCTCAGTTGGTTAAGCGACTGCCTTCGGTTCAGGTCATGATCCTGGAGTCCCAGGATCGAGTTCTGCATCGGGCTCCCTGCTCAGCAGGGAGTCTGCTTCTCCCTCTGCCCCTCCCCCCTCTCATGTGCGCTCTCTCTCTCTCATCCTTTCTCTCAAATAAATAAATAAAATCTTAAAAAAATATATTAGATTATTTGTTCCTGAGATAATAATCTGCTCCCCATACTCTCCTGACACTTGATCCTGCCCCATTTTCCACCATCTCCTCAGATGCCACCAGGAAGCAAGTTACTTCATCAATGGGAAACCCACCAGGGTGGCCGCCTTCTTCTGAAATCCCCAGAGCCTTTCATCTTGTTGCTGTGGAGGGGATGGGACTGCCAGGACCTCCCTGGGCACCCTGCCCAGTCTCAGCCCTAGTTGTGATAATAGCCATAGAGACTGTGACACTTGTAGGGCACTGAAACCAGCAGCCCACAGAATGTGAAGGAACAGCCTTTGTCCCAGCAGAGATTGAGATCAAAGTTCAAGGTGAGGCCACCCTCCCTGAGGCTGTCATTGGTAGGGGGTATGGTCATCTTGTGGCATTAAGATTATGGGCCTGGGCTCTGGAGTTAAGAGTAGCCTGAATTAGAATCCTACCTCTCTTCCCAGCTTTATGGCCCTGGACAAATCATTTGACTTCTCTGAGCCTCATATTCCTTATCTGAGGTCAGGGGACCTAATGTTTATCTTCCAGGGCACTTACATGGCTTATAATTAATATTAAGGTACTGGCTTTGGGGGGTGCCTGGGTGGCCCAGTCGTTGAGCATCTGCCTTCGGCTCAGGTCATGATCCCAGGCTCCTGGGATCGAGCCCCGCATCGGGCTCCCTGCTCCATGGGAAGCCTGCCTCTCCCTCTCCAACTCCCCCTGCTTGTGTTCCCTCTCTCTCTGTGTCTCTCTCTGTCAAATAAATAAATAAATAAAATCTTAAAAAAAAAAAAAAGGTACTGGCTTTGGAATCCAGTGGACTTTTTTTCAAATCCTGATTCAGCCACTTGATTAGTTGGATATTGGGCAAGTTACTTCTCTGAACCTCATTTTTCTTACCTTTATCTGAGGCTCCTAAAGTATCTACCTCCAGATGGTCATAAGGATGCCTTATGATGGTATATGTAAAGGACCTCATACAGTGCTGGCACGTAGTAGGTACTCAATAAATATAATTGCTATCACTCTGATCACCCTCAGCTTCGCACAGCACGTAGAACTCCCTAGAGGAGAAATTAGGAACGGGGACCCAGGGAGCTCACAGACACAGACCAAGGCACTGAGCCAGTAGCCCCAAAGCAATGAAGACGTCAAATCCTTTGGCCTCTGGACAGGCTGAGATCATACTTTGGGAACAGGAACACTAGGCTGCTCCCATTCTGCATGGGTGCTGCTGAGGACTCACAGAGGCAGTGGGTGGATCAGAGAGGGACAGTTCATCCCTTCCTGGGGTAGAAAAGTCCCTGGAGATAGAACAGTGAACAAAGCAGCCAGCAGCCATGTGCAGCTGAAAGGCCACTATGGCACTGTTCACAGAAAGCGAACACAAGCCAATAGGTCACTTCCAGTCTGCTGTTAGCCACTTCAGTAAAAGCAAAAAGAAACAGGTGCAATTAACTTTAATAGCCTCTTTTATTTAACCCAGTGTACTGAAAATACTATCATTTCAACATGTAATTGATAGTTCTAAATTACTAAGATTTCACATTGTTCTCTTCACACCAAGTCTTTGAAACTCAGTGTGCATTTTATGCCTACTACGGCACAGCTAGGTTGGAACTGTCCCATTTCCAGGCTTGGTGGCCACATGGAGTGAGTGGCTGCCGTACTGAAAAGTCCAGGTCTAGAAGAGGGGCACATACGATGCACATCACAATACAAGGTACGGGATGCTGCAAGAGACCGTAATGTGGACCTTAGCAGTCTGAAGGTCACGGACAGCCTCCCTACAGCAGGGACACTTAAGGCGAGTCAGAAAGGACAGGTAGGAGTTGTCAAGGTGAAGCTGCGGGTAGTGAGGGAGCGCACCCTAGGCTGGGAGCAGCTCAGGTGAAGGATCAGGGCCCAGGCACCTGGCTGGCTCAGTGGGTGGAGCATGCAACTCTTGACCTTGGGATTATGAGTTCAAGCCCCATGTTGGGTGTAGAGATTACTTTAAAAAATTAGGGATACCCAGGTGGCACAGTCAATTAAGTGTCCAACTCTTGGTTTTGGCTCAGGTCGTGATCTCCGGGTCCTGGGATCGAGCCCTCCGTTGGGCTCCGCACTCAGCCCGGAGTCTGCTTGGGATTCTTCCTCCCTCCCCTGTGTGTGCACACACCATCTCTCTCTCTCTCTCTCTCTCAAATATATAAATAAATTTTATTTATTTGGGTGAGGGAGAAGCAGACTCCCCACTGAGCAGGGACCCCATGCGGGGCTCCATCCCAGGACCCCAGGATCATGACCTGAGCCGAAGGCAGACGCTCAACCAGCTGAGCCAGCCAGGTGCCCCCCCCCCAAATTCAATCTTTAAAAAAGAAAGTATCAGGGGCCCTGGAAACTTCTTTTTTCCTTTTTCTCTCCATTTTATTTCTACTTGTTAAAAAAACATAACATGGTGTAACTTAAAGTAAGATAATGTAAGAGTTGCCATATCAGGGGTGCCTGGCTGGCTCAGTCGGAAGAGTGTGTGACTCTTGATCTCAGGGTTGTGAGTTCTAGCCCCACGTTGGGGGTAGAGTTTACTTTATTTATTTATTTATTTTTTATAAGTTATACATTTTTTTCCTCAAGATTATTTATTTATTTATTTATTTATTTATTTGACAGAGAGAGAGAGAGAGAGAGAGATAGTGAGAGAAGGAACACAAGCAGGGGGTGTGGGAGAGGGAGAAGCAGGCTTCCCGCTGAGCAGGGACCCTGATGCAGGGCTCGATCCCAGGACGCTGGGATCATGACCTGAGCCGAAGGCAGATGCTTAACAACTGAGCCAACCAGGCACCCCTCGAGTTTACTTTAAAGAAAAAAAAAAAAGCTGTCATCTTAACCATCTCTAAGTGGATAGTTCAGTAGTGTTAAATATATTCACATTGTTGTGAAACCAACCTCCAGAGCTTTTCCATCTTGTAAAACTGAAACCTTATCCCCTTAAACAACAGTCGCTTCCCCCTCCCACCAGGAGCTGCTTTGCCATAAATTCCAACAGCCTTGGTCATGTGTGGGTAGCCCATGGGGGTGTCAGTGCCACCATATTCCCTACCTGAGGACTCCCCTGTTGGCAGGTATGGACAGAAATAGTCCATGGTATGAGTTTGGTGGGAGTGGTTGACAATCAAGAAGAGGCTGGCCAGTTTGGCCTTGGGAACAGTTGGGAAGAGATCTAGGGGAGGTTCATGGTTGTCAGAGGGTCTCCCCAGATACCCGAGCACCCACCCGATTCGTGGATGATGAGGAGCTAGCCTATGTGATCCAGCGGTACCGGGAGATTCATGACATGCTCCACACCCTGCTGGGGATGCCCACCAACATCCTGGGTGAGTGGTAGCCCCCAGCTGCCTTGAGAGTGGGGCTGGGCAGGGTGGGGTGGGGTGTTGCAGCCAGCCTGTCCACCTGGATTTGTCACACACTAGCCAGCCGGCTCAGTGCCTCATTTTCTGGTTTCTGAACATCTTGGTAACATCTGTGCCACGCATCGTCTCCCCATCCCACTGCCTCTGTGGTTCCTAAGCTGATGGAGCAGCATCCAAGCATCAGGGCTCCCTGCTCTGAAACCCTCCACAACTCCCTAAGGCCTGTAGGAACCACCCTGGACTTCTCAGCCTGGCTTTTGGAGTCCTATGCACTCTGACCCCAGGCTTCCTTTCCAGCCATTACCTCCTGCTCTTTCCTGGACCCTCACCTTCACCCCAAGCCAAGTGCTGTAAGGCCCAGCATGGGCCAGGACCGGGCATGGCCAACCCGACAGAGATCAAAGAGGAGCAGATGCTTTGCTCTGTTCTGCCAGGAGCACCATGGCCTCTCTTCCTGGGCCTTTCTCACCTCCCACCCCATTTCTCGCCCTGCCCCCCCCCCAGGGGAGATCGTGGTGAAGTGGTTTGAGGCTGTCCAGACCGGCCTGCCCATGTGCATCCTGGGTGCCCTCTTTGGACCGATCCGACTCAGTGCCCAGTAAGTTCTCAAGTGGTGAGGGGTTGGGGAGAGCTTAGAGGAACCAGGATCCAGGAAATGGGACAAGCATGCAGCCTTCCTGAGCAGCCCCAATGGTTCTCCAAGAAGCCAGAGTAGAAAGAATGGGGCAGGAGGGTGCAACTGGCCTGGCACAGGGTCTCCAGGGCAGTGAGTGAGGCCTGGATGTTACACAGGACTCTACGGTCTCCCGGGCCAGGCCTCAGTGGTGGGTCAGAACATGGAATTGAGGAGGTGGGGCAGCAAATCCAGTGTTAGTTCCTGGAGTTAGGTAGCCCTTGATTTAAATCTGGGCTTTGGCATATTTAAAACTTGTGGCTTTGGACACAAGATTTTACCTCACTGAGTTTCTGTTTCCTCATCTGCTAATGGGGATAATAACTACCTTCTTTTTAAGGTATTTGTGAGGACTGAGAAAATGTACATCAACTTCTGGGCACACCCTGGGGACCTTATGTCTTTTTTCCTCTGCTGCCCCACAGGAGCCTGCAAGTGCTGGTTTCAGAGCTGATCCCATGGGCAATTCAGAATGGGCGCAGAGCCCCGTGTGTCCTCAACTTGTACTACGAGCGGCGCTGGGAGCAGCCCCTGAGGGCTCTACGGGAGGAGCTGGGCATCACAGACCCCCCCACCGTGCATGTCAGGGGCCTGGCGTAGGCCCTGAGCCGCTGCCCACACCACCACCCAACCTCCCCTGAGGCGGACGATTCTTTGGCCATTACCTTTGTTCCTTTTCTTTCAACACTGACCCTTGGGCCCTTCATTTGTCGTAATTTGTCATAACCACTGTTGAGTGGCTTTGAGGACCACCCCAGGAGGGGGCATGCAGGGCACTAGAGCTCCCAGGAGAGCCAGGAGCTGCCCAAAGATCACCACATGTGAGAATCAGTCGTCCAGCCTGGTGCTGGGGTGTCTCAGGTCCACTACTCCTGTTCTGGACCCATCCCTGCCATTGAGGGTTTTCTGGGTGCCAGGCTGGGTGTCCTCCAAGAGGAAGGGCTATACCAGTTTCCAAGACCTGAGAAGGGGCAGGCGAGTGTCCACTGTCTGAATAAAGTCTGCCATCAGACCAAGTGTCCGCTTCTCCTGCCTTTGCCCAGTGCTCCCCATGACTCTGGCAGCTTTGGGCCTTTGAGCACCAAGGACAGACATCCCCTCCAGCCTGAGCTTCAGCTACTTGTCCTCTTTCCTTTGGTCTGAAGTCAGACAGACTGGGATTCAAATTCCCAATTCCTCCATTGTTTTCCAGCAGAGGGACTTAGGGCAAGTTTGTTCCCCTTTTCAGCCCATTTCATCATCAGGAAAAGGAGAAGAGAACTGCTGGTTCATTTTGGAGTGGCACCCCGGCATATTCTCTGGGTCAGGGCCAAGGGGTGTAAGTATCATTGCAAGAGTGGCTAGCCCTGTCTTGGGATTTAGAACCAGAAACACTCTCAAGATGGCAGAGCCTTTAGAGTTTTGGGGGGCCAGCTCCCCATTGTGTGGATAGGACAGCTAAGGCCTAGAGATAGGCAAGGAATTGCCTGAAGTAGCTAGAACACATGCCACAAGACTTCCTGGGTGGGTTTCTTATGCCTCAGTTTCCCTATCCATAATAAGGGCTACAGTTTTAGAGCTGTACTATGTGCCTAAGCAATTGAGATGCACACGTTATTGCATTGATGCTTTGAACAATCCAAAGAGATGTGTTATTCTGTTTTACTAATGAGGCAATAGGAGCAGAGCTGGGACTAGAACCAGGGGTTGTCTGAAACCTGCCCCACATTGCCACACCAGTGCCTCAGCCTACCTTGTGCCAACCACATCCCAGCCCAGGGCTCCCAGTGACGGAGGTGGGAGGCTGGAGGCCTACCTTGGATCCAGGGCCTTTTCAAGAGGGAAGCCTTGTCCTGAGCTCTTTGATTTTCTGCAGAAAGAGGAGGAGACTGGGGTGAGCTTTCCAGACCTAATCCATCTTTGCAGTATGGGCCACCTTTCCAGATCTGTCATGTTTCCACAGCTTTCCAGAGTCCAGGCACCTCTACCCCCACATCAGTAAAAGTCAACAGTGCCAAGTTTGGGGGAAAAGGTCAGACTCACAGAATGCCTTCTCTGCCCAGCTGGGGACTTCACCTGCTCCAGCCACTTGGTACCTGAATAACCCTGAGCCTTTACAGCGTTGGAGAGATGGGCACTGGGCATCATGATTAGCTGGGAATGGAGTCTGGTCTCCAGATCTTTTTTTTTTTTTTAATGTTTTATTTATTTATTCATGAGAGTCAGAGAGAGAGAGAGAGAGAGAGAGGCAGAGGCAGAGGAAGAGGGAGAAGCAGGCTCCCCGCCCAGCAGGGAGCCTGATGTGGGACTCGATCCCAGGACCCTGGGATCATGACCTGAGCTGAAGGCAGACACTTAACCATCTGAGCCACCCAGGCGCCTCTGGTCTCCAGATCTTAAGGTGGCATTTTTGCCACCAACTCGTGATTGGAAAAAAGTTCTACTGGCAAGAGCTACCATTTCCTTAGTTCTTACCAAAGCCCATAAGTCTCTCTCAACTTCTACCTGGAAACTTCATTCTTCATCTCAATAAACTATGTTGGCCTTCTTCCTATCTCTGGGAATAGCATTCTGTCCCCAGGTCATCACATGGTCAACTACTTGTCATTCACATTTGTGTTCAAATGGCACCTCCTTGGAGAAGCCTGTCCTGCCCACCCACTTGAAGAAGTGCCCTCCCCCTTGCTGCACCACACCATGTCACTTTCTTTTTTTTCTGGCACTTACCACTCTGAAATTATCTTATTTGTTCATTTATTTATGAGTTCTCTGTCAGCCCCAGGAGGGCAGGGAAACTTGTTCTTTCCCCTCACTGTTGGGAATAGTGCTTGGCACACAGTAGGGGCTTGCTGCTTCATTAGTTGAAAGAGTGGGCGCTAAGCCCGGAGTAGAGAACCCCACAACAACCTCACTTCACGGTGAAGACCAGGGGTCTCAAGTTTGGGGAGCTTGTTCTGGGACACACAGGTCTTGAGTCCTCTCCTGGTAGCTCAGGGAAAGCTCCCTTTCCCTCTGCCTGATAAAAGCCTTTGTAGCTAGCCTCAAAGCAATGTTTGGGGGCACAAGCTCTGAGGACAGACAGACCTGGCCCTGGCCCTGACCAGCACTGCACCCTTGCAGTAGTCCCGTCGACCCTTTGAGCCTCTGGCTCCCCACCTGTAACATGGGGAGAGTATATACCTATCCCACAGCAGGGCCATTATGCATGTGTAGTGATTTAGCACATAGTCCGTGTTTAGGAAGTAGAAGCTGTCATTTTCCAGGAAGGTCCTTCAAGCTCTCTGAAGTCATCATGTACACAATGAAGCCAGAGGTGTTTATTTTGCACACACCCAGCGTGGGAGGACTTCTATAGTTCAGAGGTCCTAATGCCAAATATAACCATTATCTACAGGATAAGCATCCATGGTGTGCCAGGGGCCAAACCACTTCAGTCCCCTGGGGAACTTTAGTGCTTCCAAGTGAGTACAAATGTCGGTCTCTCATCGGGCAAGCCTGGAGGTTTAAGTGCTGATGCTGATGTTAATTCTCCAATGCAGGGGAGGTGGGGGTCATGTCAGTGGAAAGGAGCCCACTGTGAGGTCAGCCTAAGTCAGCCTGTCCCACAAACGATAGCACCCAGCTCCTGCCCTTCTTAGGAACCCTCAGTGGCTCTTCACTGCCCCCAGGATAAACTCCTCAGCCTGGCACACAAAGACCTTTCCAGTCACATTTCCCACCACACGGCCCCCTGTCTGTGTATCCTGATGCACACGCCCACTAGTCTCTGGTTATTTCCCAAATACCTTCTGAGTGTAGGCCAAACGCTGGGGGTCCCACAGTGATGGAGACAGCTGCATCCCCGCCCTCTTGGAGTTGAGCGGTTACAGCAGCTGAGGGCCTTTGACGTGCCCGCCCTGTGCTGAGAGCTTGACGCGCATCATCTCGTTGAGTCCATACCCAGCCCTAGGAGGCAGGGACCATGATGACTGTATCCCCATTTTATAATGAGGACACTGAGGGGGCGCCTGGCTGGCTCAGTCTGTAGAGCATGGGACTCTTGATCTTGGGGTTGTGAGTTCAAACCCCACGTCAGGTGTAGAGATTGCTTAAAAATAAAATCTTTTTTAAAAAATGAGGACACCAAGGTTCCATGAGGAGAGGTGATTTGCCCAGTGCCTCAGGTGGTGCTAGGGGTGCAACCCAGATGTACCTAACTGGAAAGCAAAGAAGACAAGTCATAATAACGTGTGGTGCGTATTGACAGAAGTATGGTGAGCACTTGGTGAGGGGCAACCTATTTCATGATCTCATCTCCACTTGCCTCTCTGTGTGTCCAACTAGACTGTAAGCAATTTGAAGACAGACTGTTTTGTTACCTCTATGTCCCCCGCACATTTCCCCCTCAGGCCAGGCCCAGGGTCTGGGTGGAGTACTGCTTTGGCTTCACTGTTGTGACCAGGCTGGGTGGAGAGCAGCGGGGCTGGTCACCGGTGCCATCTTCCAAACTCTCCTTTGCCCACATTATATATGACCTCAGCAGATAATGTGGAAATGATCATGTTTATACCTGTGGATCCCGGCCTGGATCAAGTCAGAGCCTCCAATTCACTCTCCCTGTCATTCATTCAGCAAACATATATCAAGCTAAGCCCTGTGGACATAATCAAAGGTAATCTTCATGTCTAGATTTTGCATGTGCTTTGTGGTCAGTAAGCTTGTAAACTACAATAATAAATAAAAAAGGTCAAACACTAACTCAAACTCTGTGAGGTTTGAGCACTACTAGTATGTGCTCATTTTTTTTTTTTTTTAAAGATTTTATTTATTTATTTGACAGAGAGACACAGCGAGAGCAGGAACACAAGCAGGGGGAGTGGGAGAGGGAGAAGCAGGCTTCCCGCTGAGCAGGGAGCCTGATGTGGGACTCGATCCCAGGACCCTGGGATCATGACCTGAGCCGAAGGCAGACGCTTAACAACTGAGCCACCCAGGCACCCAGTATGTGCTCATTTTTATATATAAGAAGAGACTTTGAACTTTCAGCAGAGAAGCTGTTCCGTATCTGTTGGATGCCAAAGCAGAAGCCCATCACCACTGCACCACACTGCCTCTTGAATCTAATAGCGACGGGGGAGGTAGAGCTTTAATTTACCTAGGTTCCCCAAAAGGATGCACTCTATACTCTGGAAGAAATAAATCCAAGTGCTTCTCAGACCAAAATTTCATTTTTAATCCCTATGACTAGACCCTGAAAACTGCCCCTCTCCCCTTTAAGGACTTCTTCCTGGACTAAGGAATTAGGGGATGTATTTAAGGATAAGTGGTGGGGCCCCTGGGTGGCTCAGTCAGTTGAGCAACAGACTCTTGATTTCTGCTCAGGTCATGATCTCAGGGTTGTGAGCTCAAGCCCCATGTTGGACTCCAGGCTCAGCATGGAGTATGGGCTTGCCCCTCTCCCTCTGCTCCTCCCCCGCTCACGCGCTCTCTCTCAAAATCTTAAAAAAAATAACTACAAGGATAAGTGGCAATTGTGCATGCCCCACATGTTTGGTTATCAAGGAACCAAGTTTTCAGAGGCCCAGAGCCACACAGGACTGGGAAGCTGGCAATGACCAGGACTTGGCAGGTGGCATGACAAATCCGGTCGTAGGCTTGGAAGCTAGTTGCTTTGCTCCAAGGTCCAGAGCGATCAGAGGCCAGTTAGGTACAGGTCTTCAGATCCGTGCCCTTTGTACCACCAGGTGTGCAGACTGCTTACAAGATACCATGGATGGGAAAGGATGCCTAGACACTAATCCTGACGTCACGTTTATCGCTGTCCCAGATGCAGACGTGCCAGCCTCAAGTCTGCAGATCTTCTGAACCATGTGAAGGTACTGGAGGCCGTAAAATATCCACATGGAAGTGAGGGAGGAGCTATCAAAATTCGACTCTGGTGGGACTCGAACCCACAACCTTTGAATCACCACGCCAGGAGCAGCTAGAAGTCCAATGCGCTATCCATTGCGCCACAGAGCCGGCTACTCAAACGTCCCTCAGCTCACCTCCCTGCCTA